GATTTTTTTTAAATGTTTTCACTTGCTTCTCCTTGACCGGTAAGATCCTCCATGTTCAACTGGAGCTGAGGAGAACGAGGGTGAAAGAAGGAAGATACATATATATAGATCTATCTATATAGACAGAAGAATGAAGATGCAAGATATATATATATATAGAGAGAGATGGAGATAAATATATATCTCATATATATATATATATATATAAAATATATGTATATTTAATTTTAATCATGCAGAAAGATGGAAAAATAAGTGAAAGAGAAGGTAGAATGTGCCCCAGGCCAGAGCTGCAGCACCTGACTATTGGAGTTAGTTAAAATAGGTTCAGTGGTGAGGAAATGGGCTAGTAAGAGTGAACGCTTGTTGCCCCAGGAGAGCTCTGACTTTTGCTGCTTCCACTCTTCCGTCCGTAGAAACGGTAGAGAATATTCCATAATGCAGAAAAAAAGATGTATTAATGAAAAGAATGATTAGCATCCAAGATGGATAACGTTGGTGTAGAGCAATATACTTTTCACATATGCAAGTGGACAAGAATGGGAATTATGAGAACTGAGATTTTGGATTGGTTTTCCATTGGAGGGATGGGAAAGGATGATTAAACAGTTGAATTAAAAAGTAGCATTTGATTAGGAAAATTAATAAAGTTTCATGGAAGGGTCTGTATTTGTGAAATGCCAGCAGAAGTAAGTGACCATTGATTGAAAGCATGGGTGTCTATAGTGCCTGTAGTGTAGTCTAGGCAGTGCCCGCTACCTGCACGACAGAGTGATGGAACGCGGGATGATGGGGGAGTGCCCCTGATTTATGGTTTCTGACTCCATCTGAAAGAAGAGAATGAAAAAAATCAGCGAATCTTGCTTTTGCTGTAACTAGTCAAAACCCATAAACGATGCAGTTGCCATGCGCTGTATATGTACTCTGTACTGTTTCACAGGTCAGCGTTGTTGATTACTGTTCTGTTCTCACCTGCGTTCTTGGACACTCTGCTCCGTATATCAGTCTTTGTAAACCACGTGTGATGATTGAGTAGCTGAAGTGTGAAAATTTCAGCAAGCAATGCTGAAACAAAACCTGTGTGTCCTTACACACATGCACAACCCCTTCTTTTGGCTTATATTACTTGAGATTTATTTTCTTGTTTTGGGAAAGAAGAATATGCGGTTACTTAGCTATGGTAAGATGCATCTCATCCATGAATACAGACTCTGCCTAAGGACTAAGTGGAAGATGCTGAAGCTTATGGGAAATAGAAGCTGATGTTTCAGATAACTCTGCATAAGAAGTAGTAGATAAATTTGTGGGGGGAAAAAAAAAGTAGTCGTGAAAAAGAATGAAAATCTGCTGCTTGATACATAATCAAGCTATCCCACATGATTTAGACCTTAAGTTTAGTTCCAAGACACCTAATTTTCTTGAATCTCGCTTACATGATAGACATTCTGCCTGTAAGGACGAAAGAAATGATGACATTGAATGTCTTCAATTTACAGTGGCATTATTACACAAACATGATTTCCTATTTCAATTCAACAATGTAGATCTTTTATCAAGCGTGTGGAATGTAGTTAATTGACTATAGCAGGAATCTTGCTATCATTAGGTTATTATTTGAAAGGCTTTGTCTTTAAATGTGAATGCCTAAAATCCCATGGTTTAGGATTTTTTCAGTAGAACCATGTCAATCTCAACAGCTGCGTAATTTATTTATTCTCTAATCCTGATTTTTGTCAATATCAGCATTGTTCTGCAAATCATTTCCTTGAAAACAGAGCATCTTTGTTTCATATCCTAATGACAGGATGGTCTAAGTTCATGGGCGAGGGGCTAAGTGATGAAGTTGGCCCATGTGCTTTTTCTGGCTCTTTGAGGAAGCATTATTCCCTAGAAAATCAGATCTAGCAATCTTAGTGTGCACATCAAGTGGTCCTGATGAAAGCAAAATAGTAACGAAGATTTGCAAAATATGCTTTCACAGAGTGCAAAGTTTTAAATTCTGAAATTACTTTGCGAGACAGATGGCTGCCAAAATGCCTTAGCATGGCGTGCTTTGGTGTCACCCTTATTCAAAGGACTTCTGTGGCATTCCGGCTGTTGGGGGTGACTGCAGAAATAAATTGCACTGTGCTAAAATGCACAAAAGTATTTAAAATTTACTACTTTTTAAAAGAGATGGGCTGTTTTTATCCATGATAATCAAGGTAGATTAGTCTGTAATGGCACAGAGCAAGAAGCAAATAAGAGGTTTTATAAGAGATGGCAAAAAGGTCTGAGTTTGCATTTTATAATAGAAATAACTTTTTCACAAATGCATTAGAGAAACTATGGACCAGTAAGAAATGATGAAGAAGATAAAATTATTAATCACAAAGATTCTAAGTGCCTTTCTTCAAATTCTATTTGTATTTAGCAGAAATAAAGTCTGTGTATGCTGCTGCATGCTAAGAGTGTAGTGGATGTAAGTGAAAAGAGAACTCCAGGGGAAGAATTGAAACGCTGCTTGGAAACTCTGCCTACAAATAAATCAACAAGTCCAAACAGCTGTCACCGAAGTGTATCAAGGGAATTGGCAAACTAATTTGCAGTAACAGTGACACCACTAGAACCAGAGAAGTGTCTGAAGACTGGAGAAGAGCATGAACAGCTTTTAGGGGAGAAGTTGAGTGCATCTTCTGTTTGGTGGAATATATAATGGAATAAATAATTTATGGAAATCAATAAAGATCTGGAAGGTAATGGAACCATAAACAAAAGCACTTACAGGCTTCTAGCAAATTAATCTTGTCAAACTGCCTTTGTTTTGCTTTCCTGAATAGTAGTGTACCATTAAAGAGAAAGAAGCAACATCCTAAGTTCAAAATGGTTCAGTGTGACAATTCCAGATAGCAAAGTTGGATGGCTGAATACATATCAGCCTTCCTTGAATTTTCACCTTTGCTTAAATAAACAGATTTGACCTATTAACTTTCTGTTTGAGACATTTTGCAGTTTGGAGGCAAAGTAAAATACAGCCCATTTCATCCTGCTGGAGGAAAGAGTCTCTATCAGAAGCAGCTGGTCTTTCCCATAGCTGTGTCAGGCTGTCGGAAAGCTGGTGCTTTTCGTGAGAGTTCGTGATTACTTACTGCCTTTTTATATGATGGATGTTCTACTTCTGGGAGGTCTGTGGAGAGAGGTAATCTGAGCGTGTGATGTATTAGTTTCTAGACAGATAACTGTAAGAGTGCAAAATCTACAGATCTACTTCTCAGCTGGTTTTAGTGTTTGACACCATGGAAAAAGATATGCAGGCTGGAGCAATTCAGTATAGGTGCTAATCAGAAGCAAAACTTTCTGGTTTACCTCTGCAAAGGTGTGACATAAAGTTTTTTTTCTCTTGATTTGCTTCTTCCAAAGATATCATTAATTTCAGCAAAGGGAAGTGAGCTGTTGAAAGGGAACTCAGAGATGGGCCGTATGTTGATTTTTTTTGTTTTATTTTTTTTTGTGGTTTTTTCTTTTGTTGAACTGGAAGGCATCCAGGTTTTTCAGGGGGATGATGGGGGAGAAAGCACTGAGATTCGTACAAATTCTCTGTTGAACAAAAATAGACAGTGCAATATTCCTTGTAATGGCCGCAGATTTCCACAACAGAAGTAAATGAGCCTTGTAAATCTGTATCTGGCTAGCTGGATTATCTGCAGCTGTGTATTGGTGACCTTAAACTCCCATAGTTTTTTATTAGTGTGGAATTTTGGGAACCTGAAACTCCTTCAGCTTTGAAGCATTCGGCATGTTCAGTAAATGAGTACTTTTCATTTTAAGCACTGCTTGTGGCATAACTTTTCAGGGTTTGTTATCTTTCTTATGTCTGTGTTGCCAATCATTTTGGTTTTTATCTTCCTGCATGTTGCTGTTTTTTGACTCTGTAATATTTTTGTAAGTATTTAGCAAGTGATAATAACTGTGACAGCTGAGTATGCCTGCCTATTGGATTTAGTTTTCCCACAGCAAGACTTCATGGCCTGGTACGCCGAAATATGAGCTTGCATACAGTTTCCTTGCTGAGGAGAAGAATAATGGACCGCAAAACACATTCTGGTGCTATTAGCTTTTCAAGTGGATTGAGCTATTAAATGGAAAAAGAGTGTGCTACAGCAATTAAGTTCATCCCTACACTCAGTTGACTTGCCATTTCCAAAAATGAGATGGACGTCTATTTTGTGAAGAGACTAATGTTTTATTGATGGTAGAAATTATTAACTAAAACTGCAGCTGGAAACATGCAGGGAATGGAGGTTTGGAGCACAGTATGAGGCTGTAAAGGAATTCTTTAATGTAAGTCTTAAGTCCCTTGTGACTGTGCCATACGCTGAACTGGTTAAAGCACACTTCATGGCAAATGGGAAGGCAGAAAACCTTTGGCTTTCACACTCTTCTGCTTATTTGATGTGTAGATAGAACCTCACTGCTGAGACAGTGGTGGTCAGTGAAAGTTACTCATGTTGCGACAGCTTGATAAACACTGTGCATGGAACACTGCTTTTTAGCATTTAAGGTTTGCTAGATACTTTGTCTCTTAAACAAGCACCTCTGTGTGCACATGGTCTCAGAGAGGGAGCTGTCTAAGTCCAAGCGAACATTTTGTTACTCTTGGAGGAGAAGGGGTAATAGGTGCCATTCAGACTATGTTGAACTAGTAGAGTCGGTATGACAGAGTGTTTTCTGGAGATGAAAAGGAAAATATTTATCATAGGACCTTATTTTATCCTTTAGATTACCCAAGGCACTTTTCAGCTTAAGCATATCTTTCTGTTAGTTTTCCCCAAAATACTGCCAGAAAAATGTGATGGAGTCTCTCCAGTCTGAGCGCTTTGGGAAAGCAGCGTTTTTCAAGTTGAGGAAATTCACACTACAGAAATGCAGTTGTCAATGCCATAGGTATTTTTTGGGTGTTGGAACTGAATAGTTGTTCTGTTCTTCTTTACGTTTTAATATATGCACTGAATGTTTTTCAGGAACTCCAGGAAAGAACTTAATGACATACGGTTTGAGTTCACTCCAGGCAGAGGTAAGGCTCCTTCAGTTGAATTATTCTCTTATTGCTTAAAAAGGTGTTTCAAAAATTAATTACTGCTAAGGGTTTATACAAACTATCTCTCTGGAATGTTTCCTACTGTGCAGAGCTTTATATTGAACTTCACTTGAACAAGAATAGCAGATGTATGTAAATCCTAGTGGCAAGGTTGCATAATGTACAGTTTATATTAAAGACTTGAACTTTATTTTATATTTATAAATGTCTTATTGAAATGATCTATGCAGTATATAAGATCTTACACAGCAATATTTACGGCTTTGGAATTTCCATTTTCATATTTGGAAAACATTGTAGAAAATGGAATGTAGTAACCATAAAGGTGTACCTGGTGATGGTGTTAATATTTGAGTTTCTTCCCCCTTTGTAATAAAAGAAGGTCTGATAACAAATATGAAGTATACACCATTTTTTGAATGCTGTCTTCAACTGAAAGTTGAGTTGTATCTCTAGCTCTGGTATCATTACCAGAAAGAAACTCCGTCATTTAAATTTTAAGCTCTACTGCATACTTGTAGAACTGTATTGACTTTCTGATGCTAAGAGTTGTAAGAACTTGTAAAATTTACTTTTGTTTGAAGAAAATCAAGTATTACTGGGATAAAATGCACAGGAGGCTGATATGTTGAGTAAGAAGGTATCATCCTTGTTACATAGCAACCCTTTGAACTGTGAACACATTTCATATTTCTCAGAAGTCAGTATTCGCTATATTTAGAATAGCCTTCAAAGAGCTCCCACCTAAAAATCAATCCAGATTGGAAGAGGTGTCTCTCTTCCTGTAAATCACAGTAACTTTCATGTGCAGTAGTTCTGCACATGGATATACTCTCTGTTGCCTACCTGCATTGCTCAGTGATTTTGTCAGTGAGTAACACGAAAGACATCTCTTCCTTAACTGGGCACAGAGCATCCTGGTTTAGTCACTTGTTGAAAGAATTACTTGAATAGTCCCTAAGTAGTTATGTAAGCCATTTGAGAATTCTTACTTGGTCAAAAAATAGAGGATATGACATAGTAAAGTACGCCAGGACTGTTCCTAGTAGTCAGTCACTGCGGCAGCCAGAAGGTGGCTGTGATTCTCATCTTCAGAGCTCTCCAGAAATTGCAGCTAGCTCAGCCATACTGTTTTTCACCCGTGTGTTCCTTGAGGAAGTGATACAACTGTGTAACTGCCTCAAAGCTTGTGGTCCATGTAGATATTTGGTGCTGAGGCCATACTACTGTTGAGAGACTTGGCTGGAATTTAGGCTTGTTCCTGCTGTTTCCTCCTACTTACCTCTAAGCCTTCTAAAGTCTTTATCCAGGAGCAAGTACTAGTCACAGGGACTTAGGAATTAATCCACTTGGGTACAGCAACTGATGGAAAATCGATCCAAAGCGCTGAATTTCCTGGGTCACAATACTGAAAAGCTATTTTAAGCCTGAAGCTGAAAATAAGGACTGTTCACGTAACTCCTTTGCCCCACTGGTAACAAAGGAGAAAGCCTACCTAGCACGTCTCTATCTAGATATGTAGAACAACGGAGGGGATAAAGAAAATGGTGAAAGCAACACCAATACATAGTTTATTTTCCTGGTTGTGAAGATACTGAACTTGTAAACTGTGTAGGAATATGTAGTTAGATAATAGAGGAGAAATGCTGGTGGCCAGGAAAGGTCTGTAGGGGTTTTGCAATGAATCAAATCATCGCCTCATGCGATTTGCTGTGCAGAGGCTGATAAGATAATTATCTTTTTTCCTCCTAATTAAAGATAATTTTGAATTCAAGCCTGCATCCATGGATGTTTTGGGACAAAAATATATTTTTGTTAAATTGCATTGGATGACTGATAGTTTTTGTTGTTTTTGTGGGCTCTCACACTTCTTCATTTCACCTTTTGGACAGACACAGCAGATGGCGTTTCTCAGGAGCTGTTCTCTGCAGGCCTGGTTGATGGCCATGATGTAGTTATAGGTAAATTACATTTTTGTTTGCAATTACGCTCTTGTGACAAGTTTGTGTTAAATGGATGTGAAAAGTGCTTTCTTTAATGCTGGTTTTCAGAAAATCCTTTTTGTCCTAATTTTGCTTTCATGTATGCATAGTTCAATCAACAAGCCAATTTTGATACCAGTCCACGGATTGCTTTTGGAAGTCAGAACTCTTTAGTGGTTTGAGAGGGATGATATAATATAGATCTCCTGAAGGATTATTTACAATTTAATGATTGATCATTTTTGTACTAATTGAATTTTTTTGTTTAACAATAAAATGATTTTTTGGTAGAGTTTTGCAAAGTGGCTCTGAAGTTAGTAAGTATTCTGCTTGGGTTCGTGGAAGCAGAAGCGAGCCAGCATTCAGGATCTATGGAAATTGGTCCTAGATTTATTACTTCTATGGTTTAAAAAAAAAAAAGATAATCAGAAATGTTTTCTGGCTGCTGAGAGGAAAGATACTTCTCTATTTTTTTCTATTCGGCGCTTCAGTAATTTTTTTTTTTTTTAAATGAAATTCAGTGCCTTGCAAAGATGATTAATTTGGAAGTACTTATTTCCCTGCAGTTCCTGCTCTTCTTCTGATTGCTCAAGACCAGTAGATATATAGTTACCAAAATCAGAAGTGAGCTAGTAGATGCTAGATGTGTGAGAACTGAATCGAGGAATACTAGCAAATCAATCTTCGTGTTGTGATGAAAGAAGTTCATATAAATTGGTTCAGATATCATTACCAAACTCCTGAATGATATGGAGAGTGTTACAAATCTGTAAGTTCATGTGACTTGCCTGGAAGGTTATCTAAATACATTCTCAGTGCATTTGTAAGGTAGCTAAAGTATTTCAGAGAGAAGCCAATACTTTTTGCTTTTGTATGTTCAGAAGACATGTTGATTCTAGGCTCATATAAGAAACAAAAGCCCTACCTATGCTTTTATTTTAATTTCTAAAGGAAAAGTATTTAGAGGAGGTTAGTGGATGGTACGGGCTAGCAGGCACTCTTCACTTAAAGTCACTTTTTTTTGTGCTGTTACAATGAGGGTTCAGGGGAGAGGGGTAGCTTGCGCTTAGTTTGTTGCCTTTTAAACATCCAGTATGAAAAATGTCATTACCATACAGCTGATGATGTTTTTGTTAGAATTTTCATTGCCACAAGATACCTTACTTCATTTAGAAATAATAAATAAGTAATGTTTTTCTGGCTAAGAGAAGAATTGTTATCTGTTGTCTATCCCACCTGCCTGCGCAGCCAGCTGGCACTCTGTGTTGTGCAGAAGTCAGTCACGGCTGGTGATGCTCAGGGCAAGTCCTGCTGCAACCCAGTGAGACCCCTGTTCCCTTTTTCGCTCCTCCCTTTTCTCGTTGCTGCAAACTTCTCTTCCAATGCAGAGTGCCAGTATTTCTATGGAAATGGCACCGTGAATGGGATTTGTTACCATCTTTCAGGGGGGAGTGATGGGGAAAGGCAGATGAAGATAGATATCACTCATGACTTTGGTGATGGGACTTTGTAACTTGTAGAAGCACAAATATTTAAATAAGTAAAGTTTTCCCTAGCAGGCTTAGTTAGAGACACTGTCTAGTTAATAGTAAAAGTTTATTTCCTTGCTTACTTCCTGCTTTGAATTGCATCAGACTTTGATTTTTTAGCACTACGATGATGGTCCTTTCTGTTCTTTCTTGTTTGTCTTTTTATTGTGGTATTTTTAAAAAGTAAGGAAATAAAATTTCTTGTATATAATGAAAGCATTCAGTTTGAATTTAATTTCATTAATTATAATCAGTTTATATGTTCATTTTTCTGCGATGATATAACTTGCCTCCAGTTCCACAGACACAAATTCTTGCATGACTTTGTACTGTAATTTTCACTTGTGTCTGCTTCATCCGTGAAGTTGTTGAAGTTTTCAGATATATTTGGACATTGTTATCTTCCTAGAAAATTACTTCAAATTTCATGTTTTACTGAAATACAAGTTCTGCTAAGTGCAATTTTACTTTTAATTAAAAAAAACTAAAGTTGGACTTAAGTTACAGTATGTTTGTGATTTGCTGTGGGGAAAACTGGCTAAATGTTGTATGGGCATGGAATAAAACAGCTTGCATGCAACTAGATATTGGAAATTTCAGAATTGCAATGTAGCAATGCAGTCCTAAGAAATATTTCAGTCCCTTAGTTAAAAGCAATAGGTCATATTAGAGAGCAGATGGTGCTGAAAATATAAATCAGCTTACAAAACTTATTTTCCATGTAAAATGATTTTGCCACCTTGTTCACTCGAAATTAAAAGGTTTAAAATCTTCCTGTGTAGGAGGAGGGGAATAGTATAGACGAGGTTGGTTAACCTTCGTCACCAAGAACTGATTCCATTAGCTTCCAGACTGAAAGCAGCTGATAAATTACCTTTCACTTTTCAGCTGAAGCATGCAGAAATTCAGCCCTTATAACATGCATGAAAACGAAGTTCTGAGATACTGTCATAAAAGTTGTTCCTGTAGTTTCTCTTAATGTATGTTGGGATGTGTCGAGGCTGGGAGAAAAAAGAAAGGTGAAAATACCTGTGCTTATGTTGTACGCAACAATTTGTTGGCCTAACAGCTGATTTTCTGAAAGGACACTTTCAGCACAAGCTGTTGTGGAAAGAATGGCTGTGGCGTACGTGAGCTGAAGCTGTTAGTAGGGGCCAGCTAATGTGTAAGTTTATAAAATCTGCTGCTAAGCATCACCACGCCTCACCTTTGGAGTCTTGCTGGATTTGCTTCACTTAACACAGGCTTCCCAGGAAGATTTCCATTCTGATAAGCAATACGTTCAGCTACCTGTTCTGCAGAGAAGCAAAAATCACATCTTGCATGTTCAGTTCTGGCTATGATTGACTGGTTTCTGTTCTTATTGACAGTAGCATTGTTTCACAGGGGGTGCCTAGATCAAGGGAATCAGTGCAGAGAATTTCATTGAAAAGCAGAATAGAGTTTGTGTTTGCAGAGGTGAATGAATCTTGGAGCTTATATGTAGGCATTGGTATCTAGCTGAGGAGGTATTTTTATGCAGTACCCAAAATAGCTATGTTAAATCGTGGGAAAGATCTGGAATATTTTCAAAATACATTTTGAGATTAAATATGTCTCTGTGTGTATATGCTATATATGTATATTGGCTAGTAAACACTCATCTAGTAATGCTTTATTGTATTTTTGATACCATAAATGAAACTCAAATCCTATCAACAGTCAGTTCTGTTGAAAACCACATAGTTGCAGTCTTTCTTGACTGGTGTATACAATATGCATATAATCTCAGCAAAGCCTTAGGCTGTACTTAATCTTCTAGAGGCCTTGCTTAAATTTCAGAACCTAAAGGTGTATTTACAGTTGCTAAATTGCAGTATATTAAAAAAAACACCCTTGCCTTCCTCAGTACTGCTTAAATAAAAGCCTTGATATCCATGCAATCAAGAAATGTGCCCTTCACTATGTTAATGTACCTTTTAAGGTATTTTTGTCAAAAAGTATCTCTGAATACCTTGAGCATCATGAAAGATGTACCTTCACATTTAAATACACCAGACATTAACTACTGGTAAATGGATATCTGTCTTTGATGTTGGAGCCAGATGCAGGTATTCACTTAGTAACCAGAGGAACACCAGCTGAAAAGCCAATAGATCATATCTTGAAATGAGATCATATTTTGAAAGTAACAAGCTTTTTTCATCAACATCTTAAATATTTTCTTAGAAGTGTGAATACAATAGATGCCATAGTAGTTTAAGGGTTTTGGGGTTGTTGAATAATTTTGGGGGGGGCTTGGAGGGGGATGCAGAATAGCCTTTTTATTTGGTGTGGTTATGGTGGTAAGCGGACAGGACTTAAATTGGCATCTAGAATAATAATAAAAAAATATGGCTATGTATGGGTTGTTTGGCCATAAGTGCAGAGCACATATATCTGACCAAATCCCAAATGACGTTATTTCAAGGGAGGTTAAAAAAATGTTAAACAATAAGTAATGTGTATAGTTCCCAATTAACCACAGTATTAAAGCATTTGAAGTTGAAACAGTGGACTGTCTTAAAGTATTGTGTCTGCTGATGCTGAAGGTACTTTCATACTAAAATGGAAAGATGAAAAAGCAGAAGCCCGGTTTGTTACTATATTGTGTGTAACAGCATCCTAACTCGTAGTGGCACTGATAAGCCAGTTGATACAAGAGCCACGGTTACACAGTGAATATCCTTTTGCTTTCCTTGGTTTTGCTCTGCATTTGCTTATACGTAGTTTACTTTGCTGTCTTGTTAGATTACTCATCTTTGAAACTGAATGAGGTGATGCCTTTTGTTCAACTAATTCCAGCTTATCATTTTACCGTAATCAGAAAATGGGATAGTGCTGCCCGAGTAGAAAACATATTGCACTGATTGATGTCCTCAAAGAGCAGTAGTGTTGCAATAGGTAGGTGACTTGGATAGCACTACCATTTGAAGGCACCACAGGTTTGTCACTTGGTATCAGTAATGTTTGGAGATGCACTGGTTTTTGTAATCTTTGAGGGAATTTGTTGGAAGTTTTGTTTTTTCTGGTGTCTCTTCATTCTTGTTCAAACTGAGTGAAATAACTGAATTTTTAGTTAAGCGTATCACATATTTATATGTTCCAAAGCTCAATGTACCCATAAACTTTCTAATGAGAAAATGCCTTTGTAGACCCCAACAACTAATTTCAAATGATAGAGTAAAAACTTTGTATGTACTTTTTAATGTATTATCCAGAAAGGAAATGTATAGATTTAATGAAAACCTGACTGTATTTTAAGGCATTTTTTAAAAACTCCTATGCCTTCAATGTGTGCACAGAACTCCATATCTCTTTGGCAAGATACGCACATGTATTGCAGATAGGAGAATATCTCTAAAATCCCCAGGGTTTAACTAAGGACTTAAATATTTCAACACATCTGGCTCATTTGGAGCTAGTGCATTG